TTAACTGTTTCTACATCAAATGTCAGTACTTGAAATAAGTGATAGGGCAAAACCTGCACTAATCTATGTAACCTCTAACAGGTTAATAATAAAGAATTTGGTTGAATTTCCATCTACACTACCAGGACAAACCTGAAACCAGAGCCTGTTGCCACACAGATCCTTTTCACCCCAGACTGGCTTCATGTATCTTGCTATAAACATCCCTATGGTGGCAAACCCCACCCAGGCAATCACCATCAACACTGCTGTAATCAAAATTCAGAACCTGTAAGCAGTCTTCCCTGCAGTCTAGTCAGTTGGCAGGTAAATTCAAGTAAAATGCCAGTTATCTCAATATTCTCTGTACATGAGAATTAAGCAGTGGGAATTTACAAATTATACGAGTGGAAGAGAATGAATGCCAGCAACCTAAGTGTAACAAAAAAAGGAATTTGTGCTACAAATACTGAAAACAATTTCAGATGTAACGGTAATAACAATTTATGAAATTACCATGGATTTGAAGTAGGGAGAAATCATAGACTGATGCTTCAAGGCTTTGAATTTCCTCAAGATTCACTGGGCTCATGGAGTGACCTTTCCAGCTGTGTTCCCTGAGAGATCCACCAGTCCCTGTACAGGTTTAAACACGAAACCAAAAGTAATCCTCCTTATATTGTGCAGAATTATTACACCCTAACGTCAGTATACATATTCTCTAGAGTTACTATCCTCTAAACCTATTCTAAGAAGCTGATCAGAAGAATTTGTTTGGCAATCAAGAGCTTCCTTAGTTGGTGATCATTTCCTTTATTCTCATGACCTTAATGTTTGATTCAGGGATGATGTGAAAAGAAATTATATGTTAGCCCCTTTTAGGGGTTAAAGGGTTAATTCGAACTCTGTGCACAGCACTGAAACTGTAAGTCAATTACATGCAGGATTTTAAAATTAACTTTACATGATAAAAAGAACTGCATCAGAATGTATATATGTATATTTAAACACCTGTATCACAAAAGGTTGCAAATTTGAGAATATATACTAAATATATACACCTTTTATTTCCAATGTTGCTGTGTTTTTCAAAACAGGTATATATATATAAAATTGTATATCAATTGGACTTTTAAAACATCTAAACACAATTGGATTCAAAACAAAATAGCACAAAGTATTACCTGCCTTACCTGTAGGCCCTTGTGCAAATATAACAAATAAATTATTGTTCAGGTCAGAAGTCATGACTCCATCCTGCTTCTCTCTACTAAACCTAAAGAGTATACAAACACCTTGATAACCAAATAAATTTGTTTTTCCTTCATTCATCTCCTGTAAATTAATATTTATTTTCTCCAGCAATGTAATAACAGACCACAAAAATTACATGGAGCAGTGGGGTGCATAGTAATAATTAAATGCAGTCATTAATGCTTAACCCTAAAAACACTCCTCACAATAACTAGTCAGTGAATAAAAATCTGTATCAAAAAAATAACAACTTGATTTTTTGCTTTCTTTTAATTTTTAAATTTAAGTTTCTGATCAAGAAATCACAGATATTTTTAACTCTTAAGCATCATTAATCAAGAAATCAATATGATTCAACATAACAAAAATCAGTCTTGAATATTGACTTCAACATAATTATAATCATAGTTTTAATTTCTATTATCATTATCACACTTGAGTCCAATCAAATGGCTATAAGATTTTGCAATTTAACCAATGCTGCTGAGTCAGACATTTATTGTTTCTACCTGCATTTGATAGTTCCATCCTCATAAGATTGTTGTTCAATTTTTAGTCCTTTTATCTTCTGAAGAAGTAAAAAGTTAAGTGAAAGTCCACTGCAAATAAACCCTATTATCATTCAACTGCAATTATCACAGAAATGAAGAGGAATCAACCAAAAATTAAAAAAATATATATTGATAGACAGTCAATATAGAGCTTCATATGACCAAAGGACAGTTGATTACATTAATTAAAAAACTTGTATTGTTTTAGGTAAACTAGATAATTGTGAAAAGTATTGGTTCAAGGCTTAACATACTCTCTGTAGCCACCACTCTCACCTGTGTTGTTCTACTTGGTGTTTGATATCCCTTAACTGAATAATGACCAACTTGAGTGATACCATTTTGAAGGGAGCATATAATAGTATCTGTTCCATCCTAAAATTAAAATAAACCAAGCAAACAATTATGCTTTTCAAAATGCTGTTCACTGTTTTGCCTTGAAATTCCTAAAGCTTATGAATTTAATGCAAAATTACTACCCTATATCATGCTTTGCTGTTTTGTACGTGGCATTATTTTTTTCGCTTTTGTTTGTTTGTTTGTTTTTTAATTTGAGTGTGCTTTCTCTTTTGTTTTAAAAATTAAAAGCCACACAAAACTAGTTTTGTAAAATTCAACAGAGAAGAAACAACACAACAGAAATTACTGGCTTAATATAGTTTTAATACATCTGTTTAACTAAATGCAGATTTAAGAGGACTTTAAGGTATATCCTAAAAAACAGTAATGATTACCATAACAGCCTTGTGGTTAAATCCAACTGCTGCCCACTTAGTATTGCTGCTTAATTCAAAAGTAATGGTGGATCCTTGGGGTTTGTAAGTCATGAAGTATTCACATTTGTTTACTGCAGATTTACATGATTCTGGTTTAAAGAAACAGCCTTTTGTTTTACCACACCCATCTGCAGAAAACTGAGAGGTAAGAACAAATCATACAAACAGTTTGTTTAACATGTGGCTACACTATCAAATGTGTTACTTAAATTCCTTGATGATTTATTTGCCTTATTGGATTTGTTTTCATCAACAAATGCGTATTATAGATATCTACGAGAACATCTTGGCACTAAACTTTTTCTTTTGTTACAAACCTAAGGGAGTCTTATTGCCTCTCTCTTTATCAAGTATCATGGAGTATCTGTCAAGCAAGGTGACTAAACATAATTAGTAAACTGTGTTATTACGTTTTCATGGAAATAGCTCCTTCTTATTTAGCCCTCTCATTGCTGCCAATATCATCCAATTATGAATTTCCAGTTCATAACTAGAGAACATCTAATAATGCAGATCACCTTAAATCATTAACTCCTTCATCCTCTCATTTCTTTTCACACATAAAATGTGGTAATCTTACCGTCAAGGAAGTTTTGACACTCTGTCTCTGTTGTGGAAGATGACCATCACAAAGCAAAACTAAGGGGTTGTACACATTGTGTAATTATTAATTTGCTTCAATAAATGTTTCATTCTCTTTTAGACACATCTAATGAATCCTCTGAACAGCATTTACTTTTCGAAAATTATCCCTTCTTAGTCAAATGAATTGTTGAATTGTGGTTAACTAATACAGTAAAGCTCTAATAACACAACTTAAGCTTGGCTTCAAAAATTTGGTCACTTAAAGGTTAATAGCAGTTCTTTTCAAATTATACCAAAAGAGAGAAATCTAGTGCAAAAAAAAAAAAAAAATGGATTCCTGATTTCAATCATTATTGCATAGATGTGGAATTATTCTTTGTGGATCTGGCTTTAAACAAAGCAACCATACCCTGAGTTAAATTTTTGTTCTACCTCAGCAACTGTCAAGTAATATAATGAAAATAATAACTGAGAGATCTTGATCATATAAGAGACATTTTATGATTGATGAGACTGAAGTTTTGAAAAATGTTGTATTTTCAAAATTAAAAAGTCTGACATCAAAATCTATTTTTGAAAATTCTGCTTCAATAGGGTGATTTTAACAATGAGGTGGATGAAAGTCATGGTTCCACTGTATAACTAACTTTGTCTCGTTATTATCATTATTATTAACTATTAAATGAATTAATTAATTCAGATAATTACAAATTAAGTGCCATATAACTGTCCATAAATAATTACTTGAACGGAAGAATCGTAAATAAGAAATCTCTAGATCTAAAAATGGAGGTAACATATTCATTCTTGATGCTTGATCGCCCACTGTTAGAAACAAGTCGAAATTTACAATCAGATAAGAGATTAAGATCCCTCAAAAGATTTTGCGAGTTGGTTCCTTCCGAATGATGTATAGTTATGAAGTTGTCATTACATGCGTACGAGTGAGTATGGCTAAAATCTATAGCGTAAAACCTCTCACCTTTCGACAGCAAAACGGCAAATACTCCAGGAATCAGAAATTTGTTAAGTATTGCGTAGTGTCGAGCCATACTCACAATTAATTCAGACTTACGCATATGATATGCTTCTGCACATACTTTTACAACTAACACGAACTTAGTACCCAGATCTCTCTTCTCCTCGGTCGCGGCCCACTCCGCTGAGCTGCTTTGGAATTACAGGGCAACTGTTTTTTATGTATGTGCTCTAATTTCAGTTCGGCTATCGCGTGTTCTTAGGATTTTCTTGACAAGTTTCCACCGGCTATTCTGATCATCTATTCACTTTCGCATTGATTCGTTGCTGGCAAATTTGCTAACTGGTCATAGCTCTACACGAAGGGATCTACTAGAGAATCAGAGGTAATCTCATTACTTCTATTTCGTGACTGTAGGGATCTTTACTTTCGAAACACGTTCATCTGTCATCCGCGATCCATCCCTCGTATGACCAAGTAGCTGGTCGTTTGTTCTGCTCTTTATTTGAAAATAATGTTAGACTTAATGTTTGTGTTTGTGTAAAGTAAAGCATCCGTCTTGACTGTCATGCAGTTAGTGGTGCAGCGGTATAACTCACGGGTGACGGAAAACAAATCTTAAAAACGAACCACGAAAAAGAAGGCCTATGGTTACCATTTTTACGCGTTTAGCAGAAGTTCTTCAAATTAGTCTTATGTCTAACTTTAGCACAAATAAACTACAGTTTTTTGTTTTTGTTTTTTTTGGTGCGGAATACTAGTTATATTAGAGAGGGGTAGGTCATCTCAGAATGAGGTACACACCCTTTCCCTAGATCCGCCCCTGAAGTGGAGCGACAGTGTCCATTAATAAAAACATTTAAGTTTAAGGCGTTCTTTTCTAACCTCAAGGTGAACTTACAAGTTTATTTTTCGATTTGAATTGAAGAAAAACAACTGTGATCGAATTTCAATCACTTTGGTAAAAGGGGGAACTGAGCTTTTGAATAAACTTATGGTATCCTCGTGATAACGGGTGTAAGTTACTGTTTTAGGGGCAGGGAATTCGAACATTTAAGAAGTTTATACCAAACGATTTTACAGTCAAGGAAAACACATCGTGTTCATGAAGAACTACGAAACAATGTGTCCCCTCAGTTACCTGAGTTTCGTAAAACCATTAGTTCATACATTTGACTTTCCATCATTTTTTTGCGTCTTCTGTTGAAAAGTTTTATCTTTGAAACCTCGAAGGTTTTACACAAACTGTCCCTGTACTCTTTGTTTGTCATCCAGTATATCAAAGGATTGACGCATGAATTAGACATGGCGAGAATTCCACCTATAATGTGTATGGGACTATCAATATTTGTGATGCCAAAAGGAGACAGAACATAAATAGCTTGAGCTGGTAGCCAACACAGTGTCAGAGTTAGACACGCTACGGCGCACATGCGTAATAGCGCTTTCTGTTGTTTTCTTTGTCGCTCACCGTAACATCTCGCCACCAGTGATGTCTTGAAAAGCAATGCAATATGAGCAAATGACGCCCATGTAATTATACATGGAAGGCAAAACCCTATAACAGAGTTGATAAATATTACTATTGTTTGAGTAATTGTTTCTCCATATGGCGCTTTTATCGGAGAACATTTATTTCCCAACAATTTCCATTCAAAGAATTTGTTACTCTTCAAAATACAGGTAAACACCCAAATGGCCAAAATGTAAAGAAACATCCTCTTCGTTGTGAAGTAAAACCTGTAAGTCATTGGTCGAAAGATAGAAAACCATCTCTCCACAGCCAAACACGTGACCTTCAAAATAGAGACTCTCCCCATTGTAAAGAGGACATATCTGCTGCCCAAAAAGCGGCAAAAAATTTCACCACGTAAGCCACTTGGAACTGGGAAGGATGAAATGCTAACAACATATCCTGGAGTGAGAGGGATTAATATCCCTCATGAACGTAAAAGTAAAAGAAAACAAAGAAAATTAGGTGACCATTCAACGATTAAAATTACCTTTCTTCAAGGAAAATTATTGCATGATTGCACAAAAGAACACGAGATTACCTGTTAGCAGATCCGTAATGGCAAGCGAGAACAGGAGAATGTTGTGCGCTGATTTCAACATGACAGGCTTCCTTATCATAACCACACAAAAGAAGAAGTTTAAAAACACGGAAAAAGCAGCGATTAGTCCAAATATCGCTCGTGTCCCCTCCACCTGCGGCAGTTTAACAGCTTCAACGGTTGATGTATCTCCATAGCTCGTATTTCGCAATTCTGAATCAGTCAGACTCAGGCTACCCATTATTAACATCTTGTAATGAGAAGAAACGGTGTTCATAAATTGTTATTAGTACCGACTAGTAAACAATTTGAGGAATAAAGAAATTGCCTTCACAGAATACTTATGCTTACGAAGTTTTTGCCTTCTTTCTGGATTTCGTGCACGTCAACAGAATCGGTGTGCAATCAGTGTAATCTTCTTCCTGTCCGATTTAACACAAATCTTCCAAATACACAGATAATAACGCAGCTGTCATGAGTATTGACTTAGTTCCAAGCCAGTCTTTTATGCCACGTAAGATTTGAATCACTATGCCACTTTTTTTTTTAAGTTTTTTTATATTGCTGCATAAAAACTGTGAGAAAAAAACGTTTGTTATCCGTTTTCATGTGATAAGTTTTGTTTCCGTTATTGCTTTAACTTTACAAATAATGGTTGAACTACATTATTTACATTTTCACGACGATGACATTTATAAGAGGTTATTTTAAATATACGCCCCATGTGTATTCCATTAACAGTTAGAGCCTTTTTTGCAGGGGATTGGAGTTTCACCAGCAGAAACTTTTGCTAAATGTGACGAATACAACTCCGATACTAAAAGAAATTAAAAATTGCCCTCAGCCAGTTCGTTTTTAATTAGGAAGGTTGACACATTTCCTTAAGTTATAAAAATGTTAAGATATAACAAAGACATAACAATATTATTGGCATGTGTTTAAACAAGTAAAAACAGGTGTACTCGAACCTTTTATTATCAACATTGAAGCTGATACGAAATAAAACTGCTTTTACGTTTTAAATTTCGCTAAATATGACACAATTTTGAGAGAATCGATTGTGAGGATAAGAGAGACATGATTAGATCTTTATATATACCTCATAATGCTTCCTTAGTCATCAAAATTTCCTCTAGAAAATATTTAAAAGCGGTACGTTTTCCCAAGAAAGGCGGTTGGCGTTCAATGATTTTACATTCAAATTATCTTAAAAGTAATTGAACTCTTACTGTCTAATGATCAACATTAAGATATTGTGACAAACAACACACGAGCCATTTTTTTGTTTGCCTTGCAAGTTCGAGTTTGTGGAGTTCTACTGTACACGTTGTTACATGTTCTTATCATAACATAAAGGCTATCATAACATATACTTATCGATCAAGTGGGAGCGCCGGAATGGAAAATAGTTGACCCGAGCGCAGCGAGGTACGCGCGTCCTGAACGAGAGCCAAATATTAAATCTTGCAGCCCGACCTAACTCAGTCAATTAGCAGTTTATCATGTACCCACTAACTGAGTTTTGAAAATTTCGAAAATTTTGTTTCAACCCAAGTAAGACACGATAGATGAGCGCTTACGGGACAACCCCGAATAAAGATTCTACAATTACTCAAGTCAGAACAAGAACTCACAATTCATCAGGAAACGCGACTTTTCGCTTTTTTTTTTCTTGTTAGTTGTGTCAGTGTAGGGGCAGAAAGCTTTCCCGGACCGGCTCACACCCTGAATGCGTCAGCTTTCACCACGGTCTGCATCGGGATTGGGCGAGCCCTGATAGTGCGTATTTCTTGACTTTGTGTCCCGCAGTGTCCCGCGGAGTCTGTTACCGCTGTCTTGATGTGTCCTGGAAACGAATTGTTCGCCATTTTGCACGTGTACGAAACAGTGTTTACCATTCTGGGAAATGAGGATATATGGTTTGTTTATTTGTGTTCCTTTGTAATTTTACCAGCTTAAAAGTCGTCAAAATGAGCTCCGATGCGATGTTTATCTGTGGAGCACTCGCTGAAGAGTCTTGTTTGCAGACTGCCAATCCAAGATCACATCGCAGAAAACAGTAGATCGTGTCATCAAACGATGGTAAGCTTTTGATGTTATATCTGTACATCTTAAAGTAAATGCAATATACTTTGCTTTATTACTTTAAAATATGTGGATGCATTTTGATGTATGAGGTGTCAAATCACAATTTCTACACAATAAAATTCGAATGAGGTTGTAGTGGGGTAATCTGCATCGTAATCAAAGATTTTAATTGTAAGCGGCAGTTTATACATAATAAGAGAAGGATTTTGTTCTGAAGTCAAAGTTTGCAGCCACGAACAACCTGTTTTGTTAAAAATTATCACCATATTGAAAACAAAGATTTACAAAGTGTTCCTCTTTCCCACAACATGTGAAAAAAAAATCTCTTTCCTCTGCTAACTGGTCAAGTTGCCTGAAAGTCATCTTGCCGAAAGTCATATCACCAGAAAATGGTTGTTAAGTTACCAGAAACTTAAAGTCATGTCCCCTGAAATTATGAGTAATGTTATGTGCAGAAACAAACACTTAAACAAACATACTCACAGACTTTAAATGGGCAATTAAGTTTAAAAATATACATCACTTACCTGGTGGTTGTTTCTGACAACACCATGGAGATTATGATCAGAATACACATTTGAATGAGTAAGGACCTTCTGTTGTCTGTTTTTTAGGAAGTCACATCACCAATTAGACCCTTAGTACTATTTTTTTGGTTGTCATTAGGAAAAATTTGGTTGGTTGTAAATTGATGTTTTCCCCTTATTTGACAAATATGGACAGTAGTTGTTTGTAAGCCAGTTAATGACCTCTAAGGAGATGGCCAGTATCAGGCAATCCAAACATTATGGCAGTTTCGTTAAGAATTGCACCTCAGCATAATGAAGTTTTGTGTAGTCATGTAAAAGTTTTCTCACTTTCATGTTGGTAATTAATTAGCTGTTCAATGTAGTGTCTAAATGCATATTTTTCTCATTTTTACTGACTGCACATAACCATTTTATTCCTGAGGGAGCAGATAGATAAACTTTCAAAAATGCATGAGCTCCCCTTTGTTTGTATCTAAACCATCACCAATTATCTGGCTGCTGTTTTGCAATACCAGTTTCACCCATTTCTTTAAAATTTAGAGTAATTAACATCTGAAGAAAAGTACCTTAGTTTAGGAGTTTTTAGAAGAGTATATTTCCCAATTATTGAAAGCAATTCTTTTTGAAGCTGAAATAAGACTTTGTTTGGGAAATTTAACAAATCAGCAGAGTATTAGAAAAATCAATACTCTTATTGACAAGGATATTCATTGTCATAGTGGTCAAAATGTTGTGCACCAAGTGAGTCCACAATACATGTCATGGCTCATATCATGACCTATGTAATGGCTACTTATGATAATTTAGGTTCAATTTTGGAATTGATGTTATAACTTCATTTTTTATACCATGGTGATATGCAGTTTGTGTGAAAAATTACATTTTGAAAATGTTTCTTTAACTCAGGGTAACTCTTTTAACCAAAGAATCAAATTTAATCAGAGCCAACTTGATTGTACTTGAAATAAGACTTCTTGATATCATGCTGAGTTGTTGTCTTCCTTAAGGCTGTTAAGGTTTTGAAATTACACGAGGTAAACTATAGATGTAGGCCAGAATGTGGCAAGAACCAAAAGGTGACACATGACAGGTTTCTCAGTCATGGGGGGAGATGATAACTAGGTGCATTAAGTAGGCGACCAGGTATTCAACCAACAAAGGCCAACACTATTCAAGATTACTTTAGAGGTTTTAAATTAGTTTAAACATATTAATGTATACCAGGAAATAAAGCAGATGCAGTAGTAAGAGATTGGAGGACAGCGGAGACAGTGATGAACTTTTTAATTGTTGCTTTGAAAATAATTCATTTTGGAATGTGGTCAGTTTCTTAACCACTGGGAGGCAGTCAGTGAGAACCCTGCACAACATTAGCCAATAGATCATAGGTAACAACCAATCACAGAATATTTAATGTAAATTTCTTTGTATGATACTTTATGAAGTTCAACATAATAATCATCTGCAACCATTAATAATTATTTGTTACATTTAATTTAGCCAATAGATCATCATTGGAGCTATGCTGTGAAAAGCCTTTCTTCTTATCCATGGAGGTCATAAATCTTATGGACAAATCTTGATAGGTTGCTTGTGGACTATCCATTGATTGGTCTCCATCATATATCTTATGGGCAAGCTTTGTTAATGGACCTTAGAGAAGCATTAGTAATGGACTGTTAGGCAAGCTTGGTATGTGGCCTGTGAACATTTTTTGATATATGGCCTGTGGACAAGCCTTGGCAAATAACCTGTGGACAAGTCTTCATGGACATTGGGAAACAGTGGATCTCATATAATAAGAGGAAAGTGGATGAGGCAGAATAGCAAGTGGTAAACCAGAGAGTTTAATTACCTCAGGTAAAATTTTTAATATTTGTCTCAACTGTACTAGACCTGCTTTGGCCATCAGTGACCAATCAATGATAGTTCTGTGTAGGTTTTCCTTTTCCTTCTGCATTTTTGTCATATTTCTTGCTGCACACAGTTTGCTGATATGTATTAATAAACGTTGGTAGAGAAAAGCACTGTCATCTAAAGTGATTCATGTAACTTGTCCCATGACTTAACACGATTACTCATTCCAAGGCTTTAACTCTGATCACTTTATCACGAATTAAGCATGGGAACTCTTAGGTGACTTGCAAGTGTCTTTTCTGTAGACTTTTCTATTACCTGTTTGGGCCTTCAAATTTTAAAGAAGCTTGTTGAACTTGTTCAGTTTAGCTTTTGAATCCATGCCTTATTTGTTTACATGGCATGCTTTTAAATGGATTGAATCTATGGCCACTGATTCTGCAGTCTTTAAAACTTTTATTACATTTATCTTAAAGTTTCTAGTTTTTGCTTGATTTAGTTTTCTGAACTCTCTGTCGTAAGTTACTACATGCATCTGTGATAAAATTTCATCAGCATTCCCACAGGGTCATGCTCTGCTTTCTTTCTAATTAAGCATAGATATCTGATTTAAAATATGCGTCAATCAGAATGTCTGCCCTAATATGCTGTATCTCAATAGGCTTTTTGGGCATGTGCCCCTCAAGATGAACTTGTGAGAGTCTAATGGAGTTATTTTTCAATAGTATCAGGGAGCTCTTGACTCCACTTTCAAGAGGCTTTGCTGTCAGCACACATTTAAGCTGGATGCTTAGGAGTCATAGAGTCACTGTGAGTTTGAGTCTATACAAAATTCAAACAACAAAATTTGTTTACCTTAGCAATTAACACACATTTCTAACAATCCCTCACTGCAAAATAGCTAAGCTAATGGAGGCAGGAGGGAAATAAACATTCAAATAAATTCTTCAATAACAAGTTTGACTGATCAAAGGAAATGACCAAGAGAGTGCATATACAATAAAAACAAAATAACAAAAAAGGGTACAATAAATTATAGAGACACCAATCAGGTATTACATGTACATATTACTGGAATAAAATTACATACATAAAAAGCAACAAATGAAGCCTAAAAAGATTAGAATTTTCTTAATTTATCAATGTAAGTATGGACGTCAAGTATGATGTTTAAAGAAAAGGAAATTCTCAAAGAATTTCCTATCTTGGTATGGTGTCTATAAATTTTTCATTTCAGCCTTGTGGTGTGGTTTCCAGGATGAGGTAAAAACTTTCCCAAGCCACAGGGTCTTGAACATAAGAAGTTGAACTTTAACTGCTTGTAGAGTTGTGAGGTTTTATTCAATTGCGATACTTCTTTCACTGTGATGATCAATAAAATAAGGAAATTTATTTTATTAAACAAATTTGGGGTTAGTGACACTCAAAGGTGTTAAAAGTAGTAAATGACTAAATGACTCCAGGAAGTGGACATTGTTTTTTCTATTGTGAAAGTTTAACTTCCTGAACATTTTTAGCTTTTTAAGTTAGGTGATACTCAGTGTTATCAATAAGATTTGAAGAGAGAATAGAGTGAAAAATAATTTCCCTCTTGTTTGTCTATTAGTTTCCTTCAGAATAAGCTGGCTTCAAATGGAGTTTTAAACTATGGTAAATGATCATTAAATATTAGTGCCCTTTGTAACAGTTGTTTAATTGATTGTTTTATTTGTAATCAAAATCTTCCATTTGCTGACAAGCGAATCTGCAGGAGATTCACCCAAAAGTCCTCTCAAAAGACAAGACATCCAACTTTGCACAATACTAAACACTGTCAAAAGGCAGTTTACACACACAAAAAAAGATGACATATTGTGCACATCAAATTTTAGTATGTACATTTTCTCAAATTCTGAAGCTAGGATCCAAACCTTTCTTCATCTGACAAAGCCAGATTCTATTGTTTTTCATTCGTACATCACTCTTTGACTCATAGTTGCACAAAGATCATTGCATTGTAAAGCCACAGTCTTTGTTGTCAGAGTCTTCTCCTTCTTGTAATTCAAAACAAATCTCTCAATCTCCTGTCTTGAAATACAGGACACAGTTTTTGTAATTGCATGTGAGTTGAGTGTGAGTTTAATTTATTGGAAAAATCTCAGGAGCATTCTTGTCTGCAGAGGTAATTTATACAATTGAAGGAAATCAATCAGCCAGTGAATTCTAACTGTTCTCATGGCATGGGTTGAACACAAGATTGTAAATGATCATTGAGCTGCTGATTGCTTCATAAAAATCATGAAAAGTCACTAACTTGCTCATTTTCTGGCTAACCAGAAACCATTTGACCATGGTCATCCTCATTTTTCAGAGCAAATGTAGCTTTTTTTTTGATAAAAGGTTAGACTCTAAGTGTTCAATGGCTTTTTTCGTCAAGCCTCAGTTAAGCAATTTTTATGCAAACTTAACATCTTTGCCAAATAGTTCTGTATTTGATTTATGTTTGTTATCGACAAGTGTGCTGTTGACAACTTTGATTTTAAATTTTACTTACTGACTAGCAGTTGAGAAGAACTTCTGGTGTTTTATTTGTCCAAAATTATTTGATGAATTCTGTTCAGCACAAAGTTGTATGAAAATTATTTTAAGTAACCGATGATGTGTACCCATAAATTTAAGTAAAAATGCAAAACAAGCAGAAAACAAAAACTGTCAGTAAAAGAATGAATCTAAAAATCAAAGACCATGGAAATAAAAAAAAAGATTAGATGATGATGATTTTGTAAACAGAAATTTGATGAATGCAGGATATTATTTTAAGTAACCGATGATGTGTACCCATAAATTTAAGTAAAAATGCAAAACAAGCAGAAAAGAAAACTGTCAGTAAACGAATGAATCTAAAGATCAAAGACCATGGAAATAAAAAAAAAAGATAAGATGAATGCTGTAATACTAAATTGACTATTATTTTCTATATTACTGATTTGCATTTCTGTAAATTTGACTTGGAAATGGCAAAGTATACCTGGTGGTATAGTTCATTGGCAGCTGGATTGATCAGTATCAAGCACTTAAGCAGACAAGAATAATACTGTGCTTTTCTGAACAAAAGAAAACTTGTTTGATCCACTGCCACACAACCTTAATTTAAATCAGTGCAAAAGAAAAATGTACTGTTGCATAAAATGCATTCTGAGATATAAAAGGCTTATAGGTTTTAATTGACTGTGAGGTGAAATATGATATAGGGATGTAACTTGGCTTGTGTGGGCAAAGAAATATTTGATTCACAAAATCTGATTTTGTAAACAGAAATTTGATGAATGCAGGATATTATTTTGTATGGTTTTTGTGGACTGTGGGAGGTATGCGTTTAATTATTTTGTGGCAGCTTTCAAGCACAGTCATGAAGGGAAACCAAAAATCCTCAAGACTTCAGTCACTTTAATTGGCTTTGTGATGCAAGTTTTGCTGTAAGACTACTTATTGCAAGTTCACAGACATTTTCTAGGCACAAAGTATCAGCAAACTGTGATTAATTAAAATCCCATGTAGAAAAGCTGTAATATTTTTTGTTGTATCATGCTAAAGAGAATTGGAATAATTGAAGGAATATGCAATGATAACTCCATTTAAACACCGTTTAGATTATTTTCATGACATAGAAAATAGATGAAAATTCTTAACAACTGGTGTACATTATTGCCAAAGGGGAGGTACTGTTCAAAATAAATTATGAATACCTACTGAAAGAGAACAATTGGTTAAAATATTGATTTTATAATTTTGATATTTTCCTCAGAGATAACCAAATGAAAATATGGCAATCATACATCACAGCGGCAGACCTATATTGGGAGAGGAACCCCAGCAGTTTATCATGGCAACAGGAGTACAAGGGAGGTCATTGAATGTGGGGTGCAGCTGACCTGGGGTTTTCCTCATAGGGGCAAGTAGACGTAGAGGGAGGTTTTTCTTCCAGCTGTTGTTCTACCACCCCCATTCATTAATTAAGCTTTTTTTTTCATAATGATTAGTAGAGCTAAGGTGTGTGTGCCACAATTGTTCAAAAAGTACTTATTTCTTTTTTTTACCCAATTTTTGAACCAAATTGTAAGGTTTTTTGTTGGTAGGTCACAGATTTTTGGGTAGTAAGTTGTTGGGTCCTATGAAACCTAGTTTTTAGTCTTTTGTTTCAGGTTGTGAGGCTTTTGGGTGTTTCGGGGACTTCCAGGCGATTCTAAGACTTTTTCATTTGTTAAGTAAAAGGCTCTTCAATCTTATGTTTTGAGGGTCAAGTGTTTTTGGGGAACTTATGTTTTTGGGGGTGAGGTTTGTGGGTCTTAAATTTTTGCATATTACGCTTTTGGGTATTAGATTCTTGGTTTTATGGCTTTTTTTAGCTTTCTTGTTTCTTAGGTCGTAGGTTATTAGGTCTTACATGTAGGATTTGCGCCTTTGGTTTTTCAGGTGGGAGATAATTCAGTCTTGGGTTTTTGAGTGTTAAATTTTTTCCTATTATCCCTTTCAGTCCTAAGTTGCTGGGTCTTAGCAAAGTTGCTTGGCAAAATTACAACACTTTGGAATAGAATGCTCTTTGAATTCTAGGTCTTGCATCATTGAACACGATTCATAACCAAATTCAATTTTAATACCACTAGTATTGAACTAGCTATTTTCACTTGATCTACATGTATCCTTAAACAAGGACGTATATTATTACAATGCCCATATGAAGGCTTTCAGAAATTATTACAAATTAGCAATATCTAAAGTATTATTCATAGGTAATATTACCAACATCATGCTGACAGGGTTTTTTATTTCTGGATCTCAGTTTTCCAGGCAGGTTTTCCTACTGTGTTTGTGTGTGCTCCACATTTTCCCAGATCTAAAGTTGGAGTGTTTTGGTTTTCAGTGTTTTAGGCCCTCTGGTTCTTAATATGTTCTGGGGTTTGGTTTTCAAGGTATTACCAACAGGTTTTTGGGTCTTAGGCTCTGGTTCAATGGTATTGGATAAAATTTTGGGTCTTTGATTCTAGAAATTCTAGGTTTTTGGTTAAGGTCTTCTACACCCTACTTTTATGGTTTTTAAATTTTTGGGTCTTGGGCTTTCCTGGTTTTAGGGTTAAGGAGCATTAAGTTTTCTGGATCTCAAGTTTAGGGGGCCATTGTGTCAGCTCCAGGCTGGCAGGTCTCAGTTATTTCTGTGGATTTGGGGTTTGGGGGACCTAGTTTTGTGGCCTAGGAGCCTTCAAGTTCATATTTTTCTGGTTATTTATTTAGGGGTATGGGTTAGGTTTCCCAGATTGAAGCTTTTGTGTAGAAGGGGTCTCAGGGTATGTTTGGTGTTGCTATTGTTTCTTATTTTAATGTTATTGTTCTTTTGAGGAGGTACTGGGTGCATTTAGACTTTAAAACAGATTGAGTTTGCGTAGTATGGAAGCTTGGAATTTAACCTATTGCCAGGTTTCATTTCATTTCATTTCAATTGTTAAGCAAATCCTTGATTATTTCACACAAGTATGACTGACCTCGTTTTGTTATAATTATAGAGTTTTCATGAAGACAGCTGTGCTGCTCAAGGTAAAACCATAGGCTACAGCAAGGTAGCGCTTCAGTTTTTTTGTCCATGTTGGGAACATTTCAAACTCAAATAGGTTTTTTAATCATTCTTTTATACAGAAGAGGGGAACTTCATTTTTTCTTTTGTCACAAGGAAAATATATTTAGCTTTGGATACATTGACCTGCAGATCAGCACCTTTAATCAAATTTCATTTGGCATTTTAATTTTTTTCTTCACTCATTAATTCCAAATTGATCAGGTGTGGTATTGCAACAAATTTGGAGATACCACAGAGGCTTGAGGAGCAAACTCTCACTTCCTTTCCTGGACAAGCCTTGGTTGGTAGCCTGTGGACAAGCCTTGATTGGTAGCCTGTGGACAAGCCTTGGTTGGTAGCCAATGGACAAGCCTTGGTTGGTAGCCTGTGGACAAGCCCTGGAACAAAGCTGTGGACAAATTTTTTACTGACAGTGGTGAATCCTGGATTGTGGATGAGAGTGGTTACTGGATAAGGCTGGATAAGAAAGTGGTGAACCAGAGAGTTGAAAGCTATAGATACGATGCAACAGGTATAATTTAGATTAAATATTTCTGCTAGCTTTGCCTGTCCTTTGAGATCAAACAAACAAACATGACATGTTGGTGACTTGTCATGTTTCTCCTGCAAAACAAAACATACACCTAATTGCAGTCTGCATATTGTATTTACCTGATTAAAGTTTGTGGCATTTACTAGATTTTAAGTGTTTCTGATGCAGCATTTATTCTGGGGCTACATTTGATTTTCATTGGCAAAGAGATGTGATTATATAATTTGTAGTTTTGGTGCTTCAAAATCACATCAATTTCCACTCATTTTTATTTGGAAAAAGTTGTAGTCAAAACAGATTTACTGATCTTACACATCAGTTCTTAAAGCTTAAGAATTTGATGAAGCTTTTTTATATTTATTTGTGGTTGTTGGATTCAAGAGAGATTATGGGTGAATTAATTTCTTTTGCCCCCCATGGCTATTGGCTGTTGTGTAACCAGTAGATTCCTATGGTCAATTGGCTTCATCTGGTTTAGATCACTGTTGAAAACCTTCTGAAAGTCATGTTTAGGGCTTTTGTTTTTGTTGAGTGATGTTAATCTTCTGATTTCTGGGAAAAAATGTCTGGTTTTCAGTGCTGGCAGGGATCAATGTACTGTGATTCTTGACTCTCAAAGTAATGAGAAACTGTGATGAATGAGTGTCCCATTTAAGAAGAGTTGCAATAATATCAGTTGCTTCAGGTTAAAGGAACTAGAATAAGCACCAGTAGAGTGTTGTTTTCGGCTCATTTGCACTTTGTCATTTTACTTAAAAAAGAAAAGATAGAGAGCAGCAACTATTATTAATATGAATGAATTATCTTGAATAGAATTATTTTAATCTTATTGTTCTGATATTTGTTTCACAGATCTGCCAAATGAAAGCATCACAACTGGACAGCACAATATTAGCAAGAACATGGACCCATCTTGGTAGAAGAACCTTGACAATTCACCCTGGAAGCAAGTACAGGATTAGTTATCATAATTATTTCCATTAATGCTAGATTATATTTTAAGCCCAGCCTGGAATGTCATTGAATGTGGGGTGCAGCTGGCCCAGGGTTTTCCTCCTAGGTGTAAGTGGACATATGGGGAGGTTTTTCACCCAGCTGTTGTTCCACCACCCCCACTCATTAAGGTTTTTTTTTCCTACACATGTAGTTCATAATAATGGAAAGTGTGTGTGCCCCAGTTGTTCAAACAAGTGCTTTTGGGGTCTCAGGTTCCAGGGCTTAGGTTTTTGGGTCTCAGTTTTTATTGAATCTCAGGTCTTAGAGCTTGGGTTTCTGGGTCATAGGATTTTCAGGTCCTGGGTTTTTTCGGTGGTAAGTTTTTTGGGTCTTAGGTTATTTTGAGTTTTGGTTAAACTGCCTTAGTAGATTTTTATTGAATGTCCACTCTAAGAGCTTTGGTTTCTGGGTCATAGGATTTTCAGGTTTTGGGTTTTTTAGGTCATGGTGAGTTTTTAGGTTTTTAGGTTTTTAGGTTTTTGGGGGCTCAGGGTTGATGGCTTAGGTTTAAAGGTCTCTCTGGGTCATGGGATATTTGGGTACTGGGTTTTCTGAGTGGTGGGTTTTTTGGGTCTTAGATTTCTTTGGGTTCAGGTTTAATGGGCTAGGTATTTGGGACTTGGTTTTTATTAAATCTCAGGTCAATAGGTTTCTGGCTCAAACCATTTTCAGGGTCTTGGTTTTTTTTGGGTGGTAAGCTCTTGGTTCTTATAATTGTTTGGGTTCAGGTTTAATGGGCTTAGGTTTATGGGTCTTGGTTTCTTTTCTTTTTTTTTTTGCTTATTAGGATTTTCTGGTCTCAAGTTTCTTAGTCATAAATGTTTTCAGTGGTACATTTTTCAGGTCTCAGATATATCGGGGTCCTTCAAGTTTTTGCCTCTCAAGTTTTAAGGGTTTCAGGTTCAAGGTACTTTGGCTTTTTGGTTCCGGGTTTTTGTGGTCTTGGGCTTTTCAGGCCCTGGGTATTTAAGGGTCTAAGGTCTTTCGGGTCAGGCTTTTTGGGTTGTAGGATTTTTCAGTCTTCAGTCCCTAAGGTTCTTAGATCTTGGGTCAGGCTTTTTTGGGATCTCTGTTTTTTTCAGTCTTTGTTCTCTGGTATCTTAGGCTTTTCAACCCTTAGGCATTTCAGGGTTCAAGGTCTTTTGGGTCAGGCTTTTTGGGTCTCAGGTTTTTTCAATCTTAAGGTTTTTGTTTTGTTTTTTGTTTTTGTTTTTTTGTAAGGTTTTTAGGTTTGTTGGATCAAAGATAGTTGGGGTTTTAGATTGAGGGGTGTTAGGTTCTTCTTGTTGCTGATTTCCAAGTCTTAGGTTTCTGAATCCTTTCTGGGTGTGGGATTTCTGGTCTTTACTATTTTTCTAGGTGCTAAGTTTAGGTTTTTGCTCCTTACTGTGGGTCTCTTTTATCATAATATGATTTAAAAGAAAAACAGTAAGTGAGATAGAACCACTTAGGAATTTCTTTAATGCCTGCATGCCCTAACTTTTGCACTTGTTTGAACAAATTTTGGGGAGGTTAATGTTAGATTTAGTTGTCAAAATTCCTACTAGCTAGCCTGTGATTGATTTTTTTTTCTGTTTAGAGTTTATATGATATTCTAAGACTGCAACAGATTCAATTTCAGTTTTCTTGTTCTAAGGCATTGTTGAACATCATTTATCTACCAATTTAATTTCACAGTGACTGTCATAGGTGTGTGACAGATAAAAATTGAAGCAAGTGCACATTAAGGAGATAGAGGTGGCTGTTTTCACATTTAATTTGTGGGAGCTAAAGTTTTAAGGCAAGGATTGTCACCTCAAGGAGAAGACAATTTTAATTTCAAATCCAAAAAAATTAAGGAGATTAAGGCAAGGAGATTTCTTGGTCATTTTCTGGTCTTTTTGGTCTAAGGTTTTGTTTAGGTTCAAGTCTCTTAGATGTTTGGGTTTTTAAGCTCAGGGCTTTTTAGGTTGCAGGTCTTTTGGGTGTGAAACTTTTGGGTCTTTAATAGGTTTTGTATCAAAGGTCTTTTGGGTCTAAGAATTTTTAGTCTAGTTTCAGCATATGATTGAAGCTACAATAGGATATTGGTAACCACAGACATATTATGACTCAGGTTAGGGTTAGGAATTTGGAATGGAGAAACTGGATAAAAAATTTCAAAGATTTTTTACAGAGCCATATGGAGCTACAAATAGCTCCAAGACATACCTCATTGCTCAAATGGAGACTTTCCAAACAATTAAAGATTGGTAATATCTTAATATTAATGATAGTTAATATTACCAACATCATGCTGACACAATTTTTTTAAAAGTATTTCTGGGTCTAAGGTTTCCACACTAAAGGTTTTCTTCTCCCAAGGTGCATCAGGTTTTCTAGATCTAAGTTTGTTGGGTCATTGGTTTTCTTTTTCTTAGGTTTTCCAGTTCTCAAGTTTTTTGGGGACCAAGGTTTTTTAAGTCTTGGGTTTTTGTGCCTCAGGTTTCTGAATCTTGGATTTCCTAGTCAAAGTTATATTTTGGGGTCTTTTTTGTGGGTTCAGGATCTCTAGGGCTGAGGTTTAACCAGTTTTAAGTCCAGGGGTGATAGTTTTTTCTAGATCTCAGATTTCTAGGTATTAGGTATATTTCTGGGTCCTGGTTATAAGTGCATTAAGTTCTGAGTGTTACAGTCCTAGATTTTGGTTTAAGGTTTCAGGGTCTCAGATTTCAAAGTCCTTAGCATATTCCTACCATTTCATAGTAAGTATAAGGGTTAAAGGTCTCTGGGTTCTGGATTTCTGGGTCCTAGGCCTCACAGTTTTACGTTTCTGGGATATAGTGGTCTCTAGATGTTTTATTCACTTTCTGGGGAAAGAAGAGGGTCATAGACTTCTACATTTTGAATTTAAGGTTAGTTGGGTTGGTATTTGTGGTAGGAATTTACGGGAAACATGTCATTCTAGTATTTCCTGGCCTAAGGGTTTCCAGAGTTTTACAATGTTTCAGGATTCCTGGTTTTAGGTTGGCATGATGTTTGTGGTAGTATTACTACATTGAGTACATCAGCAAGCTCATTACCACATTAGTTTGCTTTTCATTAGCTCACCATTTTGTCCTCTAGGCTGAATATGTGGCTGATGGCTACATTGTTTAAGCAGATAGCTTTTCCACAGTTAAGAAGGTTTCATTTAAATTTATTGCCAAGTTAGATTGAATTTCATTTCATGCAAAGAGCAAATTCTTGATGATTTCATGTAAGTATGACTAGCTATACTATGCAATATTAAGCCTCACTGAAGATATCTTTTCTGCTTAAGGTAAACACAGTAGGCTAAATTTCCATTTACTTTAATTTCTTTTTGCTCCTTAGCTACTTTTCGGTTTTGCAAGCCATGATATCTTCTAGGGTCTCTTGTAGGATTCTACATTTTTTTTCAGAACTTAGTTGGAAAGGCATTAGTTTTTCTAAGCTTGGTATTGCAAGCTTGATCTTAAAGTAATTAGGTTCATTTAAATTTGTGCCATGAACTTGCTTTATCAAGAGATGTAATTTGCTATTACCATCATTATGTTAATTTTGTTAGGTCATCTACAGTGGTAATGAGCTTGCATATCTACTTAAGTTTTCAGGATATTATTTAATTTCAGATTGGTGGTGGCACACACACTTAGAAGCAAGAACAAAGAAAAAAAATTTAGCCAATCACATCCCTGCTGGGTTGCGGAAGCTCTGTCTGTTCTAAGAAGGTGTGTTTTTGATGTCCTCTGAAATATACCAACTGGGAAATCCTGTGATGCTTTGTCTGATCCTGAAGTTCAAGCTGGGGACAGTTGAACACTTGGAAGAGTTGACCACTTGCTCTCGAGCAGGGAGGACAGTGTAGAGGAAGGTGAGAGTTTGCTCTTTTGTCTTTGGAGTTTTGACCAATTTGTCATGGAATCACACCGACAATTTGACACATTTTGGCCTCAGAAGGTGCTTTTTTTGCATTCAATTTATCTCTTGAAATGTTCCACAACTAAGGATCATTGAAACAGTTGTGCTGAATTGTAAGAGTCAATTTAGGTGCATTTACATTGGAAGTGCGGAGTTTTGCTGGATTTCTCTGGTTTGGCTTGACCGGACTCACACAAATGACATCAAATTGAGCAAATAGTTACTGGGGGTCTCTCTGATGGGTTGATACTGAATCCAGAATCTCTCTTCTTTAGTTTTTCATTTAATTGTAACAAAAATATAACACAAAATATTAGCCATAAGCATAAACAAAGATAAACAATTTTTTTAAACCATTTTTTTTAAAATTAAGTAGCATTTTCTCACTATAAAACCACATTACCATAGATACTATTATTTTAGGATCAGCATTTTTTTCACATAATTATACAGTTACTAAAAGTTATAAAAGCTAGGCCTTTTCAGGAATAGGGTAAATTTATTCACTTTTAATAAAAGTAGCATATTTATTGGGGAAAATAATAGCATTAGCTTTGATAAAAATTATCTTTATTGCTATTTCAGGAAAATTATGCCTAACTATAAACAAAAAATTATTTTTTTTACTTAAGGAAAATCTTTTCATAATGAAATTACTATGCTATTTATACTTTAATTTTAGGGGTAGTATAGTGTAGTATATTTTTTTTCATTTAACAGGGTAAGAGCATGATCATAAAAACTCCACTTATTGATGAACAGGCAAAACGTAATTACTTTTTGATTAAAGCAGCATTTTCTCATTTGGAAAAGTGTTAGTTTTAAGATTTTCCTAATTCTTTAGTGACTAAAACTTATTTAGCTTTCCTTAAAAAAATAATTAATAAGGGATTAGTGTAAGGATAAAAAGATGGCTGTATAGGTTACATTAATATAATTTTACAATATAGATGTTACTTTTGATAGCCTCCACGTAGCCGTTCGTAGGCTCGTCAAGCAATGGTCCTGTCACAGATAATTCTGTGCCTGGAACATTCTAGGAATAGTTAGCATAGGATAAAAGAACTTTATCGCGTTAATTAAAAATTTATAACCAAACTAGGGTTTGAAGCCGATGCAAATTGCATAAATAATTAATTGCATAAATAACAAATAGAGGAGCTTTAGGTATTTTTTCCATTTCGCTATTATAAGAAGCGCTTCCTAGTCTATACTTAGTTTTTAAGCATTCCCTAGGTTCACTATATATTTTTTTTCACAAATTAATTAGTTCAAGGCTCGTTCAGCTTTGTATGTTGATTGCCTGTCTCAGATCACGGACGTTCTCTGGAGATTTGTTCTTTAAATTTTCTCCTCCAATTATTCTTTCGCATGCACGTGCATGATTGAAAATTCAAGAGGAACAATTCCCCGTAGACGTCTTATGATTTGAAATGGTCAACAAACAAACCAAGCTGGATGTGCAGAATTAAATAAAACCTTTAACAAAATATAATTTAGTTAGAATAAAACTAAACCTCCTGTAGCCTAAGGATAAGGATTGCGCCAAATTATTTTCATTTTAATTAAAGAGAGATTCTGGTATGGGTATCTTCACAGATGAGAGACGTTTAGCGACTTGTGCTATTTGGTGATATTTGTGTGATAAAGTCAAACCAGACTAGTGCGATTCAGTATCTTTCCTTGCTTTCAGTGACGATGCACTGAAAATTGGGCACCGCAAGTTAGCGCTTCGGTTTTTTTAGTCCAGGTTGGGAACATTTCCAACTCAATTAGGGTTTTTACTACTAAATTTATGGCGCGACTGCGAGCAAAAATTACTTCTATTGCCACCGAGGCAAATCACTTTAGTTTTTGATATATTGACTTGCAAATTAACGCCTTCAACCAAATTCCATTTTGAACTTTAATTTTTTTTTTCAAATCATTAATTCCAAATTGATCAGGTGTGATATTGTGACAAATTAGGATAAAGACCCCGGAGGCATTGAGAGCTAACTCTCACTTTCCTTTACCCTGCCCCCCCTACTTGATAGCAAGTGTCAACTCTTTTAAGTGTTCAACTGTCCCTGGCTTTTACTAAGGGATCAGATAAAACTGAACAGGATTTTAAAGTTGGAATAATTAAAGAGGACTAAGAAACTACACTGACTATCAGCAGCAGAGTGGAAGCAACCCTACAGTGGTGATAAGATTGGCTATATTGTTTTTTTTATTATTTTTTTTCCTTAAATAAATGATGGAAAAGACAGACAATTTTATTTTATCAATAAAATGTTGTTATTTTCATTCCTGTGTTGCTTTACTTCACAATCCAACCGTTAAAAAAGTGAACCAGATAAACACCTAGTAATAAGCCAAGTTTTGCAAAGACAACAATATTGTTACGGAAATACGTTCCCCAAAGAGTTTCCTAATGCATTTGGCTTTAGTAGAAAGTTCTTCTCCATCAAACGTACCGCGAATTCTTGTTTTTTAACCATAGTGAAGACGTAGAAGAATAATAATCACTTGATTATTTTCTGTGACAGCCCTTGTGCAAGTCGTCACGCAGAGACGCGTGACCTCATCTTCTTCTACCGTGACCATTTTTACCAATTGTAAACAAAAGCGCTAAATTTTCCCTGAATTTTGATTCAGTATTTCGTACGACGAGATAGAAGTAAACTATATGCTAAAAACCAAATGCATTATGAGAACATATTTGAGGAACACCAGCTGACGTATTTGCGTAACGTAACAGAAATTTTTGTAACGCAAGGTAGCGCGAGACAAGGGTTTAAAACCTTGTGGGACAGATCTTGGATTCTCAGAGTTTATTCTTGATAAAACCTCTCCATTCGGTCCCTCTTTAAAATTGATTTAGAAACAATTCCTGACAATTGAGAGAAAATTCCATACCGAAATTGTATTTGATAAAATTCAAAGGTTTTAAGCCCGTGCGATCGTGTACAAACCAACCCGTCTTTTACACAGAAATTTGATTGAGTGATAAAACTCTTGGGGGTTAGATAACATAAAAAAAAATCCATTCAAGATTGCAGCAGCATTACAGTCGATCCTACAGATTTTAAATTTTTAAAAGAATTGAAATTAAAACATGTATGCAAATCTGTCCCTATCATTTCTCACGCTTTTCTTAAAATTTGCATTCTAAAAGTCTGAAATGTTTTATTTCCTCAGCATATTGAAGTGCCTATGCTTATTTTCAGTGTTGAGAATCTAAGCCGATCTTCATCAGTTGAAACCTGAAATGATTATTCGAAAAAAATTCAATCAGGGCCTTAATTTAACTTTGAATGAACACTCCGAAATTATATTGACCACAAAGGTTAATTTTGCTGTTTCACATAATCAAATTGTTTGATGCGTTTTGTCTTAAACCTTGCGTGACATTGAGGGTCACACAACGGGTCACACAAATTCCCAAACGTACTAGCGAATCACTTAATTCCTTTAAAAATTAAATTTCAGAGCCTTTGCAAATAATCAAATAATTTTTTCCTTTCTCTTTATCCAGTATTGTACTTGGGAAAACGAAAATATTTTACAGCACGATTGAGTAATACTACAATTTGTTTAAAAACGTTCCTGAATACAAATATCTCTATAAACTAGAATACTGTTTATTTGGAAGACCTTATCAAGATGGAAACTTCCGCTGCAATCTTGAAAGCATGTTTCAGAGGCTTCTTGAGACTTAATTTTGAGACTGAATTTTATCACAATGCAACAATCATTGATAGGACAACCAGGAGAGGTTTCACAAAATTCACTCATCACATTTCCAGTAATTAATGAACAATCAAACCAGCCATTCAGCCAAAATGTTGAAAATTAATCTCTCCTTTAAACTGATCACACAAGACAACTTTGGAAGTTACCATATTATGCTTTGCTTGCAAAAAGAGGTTTGTTTTCACACATTTTGGCAAGGATGTTTGACTGCACTTACCGGCAATCTCCCAGACATGCAATGTACCATACAAATATAACCTTTTTTTTAAGGTGCACCAAATCAGAGAAAACATGGAAAGCAGGCATTGACACAGGCCCACAAACAATGCTGGTTGCCTGCTTCTCATGTCTCCATGTATGGTTGCAATTCTTCAGCATCACAAAACGTCCAAACAGCACATGAATATTTTGTGCTGCTAAAACTATCTGGTTGTAAATCAGTTTGTAAATTAGTTTGCCAATCAGTCATCAGCTAATCCCTGATGGTTGGACAGACATCAATCAGACAGTCAGTCAATAACCAAGTTATTTATCCATAAGTTTATTAGGTAGACCTTTCTATTGGTACACAAGACCCTTAGACAGTGCATCAGTCAGTAAGACATTTGGTTCATCATCACTCATTCAGTCAGTGACTTGATGAGTCTGTCAGTTTGACAGTCTGTATGTCTGTCAGTCAGTCAGTCAGTCAGTCTGTTTGTCTGTCTGTCTGTCAGTCAATCACTCAGTCAGTCTGTCTGTCATTCATTCATTCTGTCAGTCATTCATTCATTCAGTCAGTCAGTCAATCAGCCAATTATTCATTTAGTCAGTCATTCAGTCAGGCTATTAGGCAATCAGTAATTCAGTCAGTTAGTCGGTCTATCTGTAGGTTTGTCACTCAGTCAATCAGTCATTCTGTTAGTTATTCAGCCAATCAGGCATCCTGTTAGTTATTCAGCCAATCAGTCATAAATTAGTCATTCAAACACTCAATCAGTAAGTCAGCCATTCAAACAGCCAAATAGTCATTAAAACAGTTAGTCAGTCAATTAGTCAGTCAGTCAGGCTATTGGTTGGTCCATCAATAAGTCAGTCAGTCTATCAGTGGGTCAGTCAGTCAGTTTGTCATTCAGTCAATCAGTCATTCTGTTAGTCAAGAAAAGTCTATCAGTCAGTCAGTTGGTCTGTTCATGACAGGAAAATGGAAGCATCAGCATGCTGTAATTTAGAAATTCTTGGAATTTTCTTCAAAATTTAGATTTTTACTTTCTCCAAATAAACTTTCTGTAATTTCCCAAGCTTTAAGAATTTTCTTAGATCATTAGCTGACCTGTGACAACCATGTACCTATTGAGTTAGAAATGCTGTCACAACAAAAAAGAGTGTATGTACAGTATATCAGTCACTTTGAGGTGCACAACTACTCGAATAACAAAATATTCATTTTATTATTGAATGAATATTCATCTGAGTGGACTCTGGAAGGTAACTTAATATTGCCACTTTTCATTTATTTTGCAACAGTTGACTGACTGAAGTATGTTCAGATAACACTCTTATTTCATGCTGTACCACTATGCCTATTTGCATGGCACAGGCTCAATAACAATATTTTCTGTTGTCTTTTTGTATTACACATCTAACAATCAGAGAAGCCCTTGACTCCTTCAAGGTGACTTTGTATATCTACTGTAATTTCCAGCCGATTACCCGCAGGTAATCTGTTAATTTTTCCATAAACAGATGTTGGTGCAAATTATAGGAAGGTGCAGGTAATATGATAATTCTTAAAGTTTCCAGTATAGTTTTAAAACTATTAGCAGGAAAAAACACAGAGATGATAAGATCCACTAAATACACTCTTCAAAAAACCAATAACTCATTTATTTCACGCAGATTGCTCCTCTCAATAAGAGACTTAAATGCTCTCGAAATCGAAAACAAACAAAACTCAATAACTAAGTTTTTATCTCGTTTGTATTCTCACTCTCTTACCTAGTCTATTTCCTATCTTGTTCCTTTTTTAAGTTCAAAACACAATCTCACTTACACAGGTAGTGAACTTGAAAATAAAAGAATTTAATTGTGAAAAAGCTGGGTTCAGAGCAATTCACACGGAAAATGATGCTGACATGTTAATTTTGTGGCGCCACATAATAAATGGTGCTAAAGAATTTTTGACACATCAATGAAATTTTCTTTGCTAGTACTGCCTTGAGTTAAAGAGTATTTTCCTGTTTCAAGCAGTTTCTTCCACTTGGTAGATCTCAAGATATTGAATTTTTCCAGAACAGATTGTTACAAGTGGTATCATTCTCAACGAAAAAGTGAAGACAAAAAGTGTGAAAATTTATTAATTGCACACTAAAGGAAACAATGAAGGAACTTTGTGTGAGTCAGCGATTTTCTTTTGTTTTTTAGTGCAGGTTATCTGCCAGTGCTGGTGATCTGTTGAAATTTTTTTCTCATTATTCCAAAAATTGATCAATGTGGGTAATCTGCCATGTGGGTGAATGGGCAGAAATTGTAGTAAATGATTGCCTGTCAGCCTTCATGACTGTCCATCAGTCAATCAGTCATTTTGTGTACCAGTCAATCACCCAGTCAATTGTCAGTCTGTTAGTCAGTCGGTCAATCCCTGTTACTTTCTGTTAGCCAGTCTGCCAGACAGTCTTAAGCCTGACAGTCAGTCATTCAAGCAGGCAGCCAGCCAGTCAGTCAGTCTGTCTATCTGTCAGTCAGCCTATCAATCAGTCTCAGATTAACAGTTAGTCTGTTGCATTATCATGCAGCCAGTCATTGAGACAGTCAACCACTGAGCCAGTTGGTCAATCAATTGGTGAGTCAGTCAGTCTGTTAGTCAGCCAATCAATCAGTTGGTAGATCAATCAGTTAGTCAGCTAGCCAGTCTGATAGTTTATCAGTCAGCCAAATAGACAGGAAGTCAGTTATGTCAGTCTCTTAATTACAAGTAGGTACTGTAGTTGACCATCCAATAATCAGTCAGTCACAATCAGTTGACAGACAGTCAACCAGACAGGTACAAGTCAATCATTCTGCCTATCTGTCTTAAGATTGGCCAGATTCTGTGTTTTTTGATGAAGATGCCTCAATTGTGGGCAGCTTCCTTTACTAGAATTGCTACCCAGCATCAGCCTCCAGGCTCATCCAGAGGTGATAAAAACAATGGTGTTTTGCTAAGACTTCACTTTGGAATTTCTGGAATTTAACAATTCCCCACACACCTTCATATTTTCTTGTATCAATCTTCTTTCCCAGATACATGCTAATTTATGTACTTGGCAACTTGTCCTTTTAAAAAATTGCAAGTCAGACAGTCAACTGTGACAACAGACAATGAAAAGTGACACAGAAATCAACCTTTATCCACAGTACATTGATACACTACATGTCTGGGGTGAATTTCAAGTTTATGTCCCACATGCACTAATGCTACATGAACTAAGTCAGCAGCATCACCCATTTGCTACCTTGGAATTAAAACAAAACTTGGCTTATTTAAGACTTTGTCTACCTGGTTCAATTAACAGCTGGATTGCAAAGGAAAACAAACATCTTGAAAGAGATCTGCTTGAAGCTTGGTCCACTTGTTCACCCATCAGACATCTGACCTGGAGAAAATAAGATATATTCCTACTGATAAGTGTTGAGCCAAATGAGAATGAAGCTTAGTTCTTCTTACAAGCACATTATTTCAATATTTGGACCACCACTTCTACTGATGCACCAAGTACTCCCATGAAAAACCTCTTAGTTAATGTGCAACATTTGTCAATCAAGAAACAAGCTTTTATTTTCACTCCAAACAAAACAAAATAAAAAACATGATTTTGCCACAAATATTTACTCTTTCATGTAAGTTTTTCTTTCTGCAAGCCATTTTTTGACCTTGACATCCAAATTTGAAACAGTTGGTGGATCTGAAGGTATATAGTAACCTCAATTCCTTGCAAGTCTGCTAGTCAACACGTTTGTCAGCCAAGTGTCAAATAATGACATTTTTCATTGTAGAGAATAAAGGGGTCATAGTGACAAAATTTGACTGCTGGCTTAAATTTTGAGTGTGGAGGCTTTAAGATGGCACTTCACAGTAGGCACTTTTCCCTTGTATTTGTTGCAATTTACCAAGTAATAATGAGCCAAAAATCCAGGCGATCGACAAACTCTTGAATTATTTACAATTAAAAAAAAGTTTCCAAACTTCCGTATTAAATTACATCATAGTAGAAAATACCAGCTTAACAAAGTAAAATGTCCTATTAGTATGAATATTTGAAAATATTCCTGCCTTTTAAGGGACCAAAAATATTATCAGCACTGTAATGTTGATCACTACGTTCTTCGATTTTCAGAGCAGATGTACTCATGGGTAAAACTACAGATCACTGGGCCACTTATTTATCCATCATTGAATGACACCATTCTGCCTCGTTCTTCATAGCATGCCGACACAACGGATAACTAGATATGCTTATGTACAGCGATCCTTGAACATTTTTTTCTAGGTATTCTGCAGTTACTCCAATTTTCGCAGAAATATTACTATAAACGTAAAATCACAAGCCTATTTACCTCCATAAAAAGATCTCTGTTTTTGCATGTCACTCGGATCCCAGCATGGATGCCTGCAAACAACAAAAACAAATAAACTAATGCTCCAAAAACAGAAACAACAAAGGTTCTGCTTCTGACGACTTACATAGAAGCAAAACTACCAGGAAATAAGGATAAACAAACCTTCCAATTTCTCGTAAACAATTTTTCAGGCACGTACACGTGCAAAATGACTGACCAAGGCCACGCTTGCAACTAGCTTAACCTCGTTCCCAGGACCTTGACGATGTAGAAATCCAACATGGCACAGAACGAGAGCTAGAACAGTTGATAATTTCCGAAGAGCCGGAACACGTAGTCGTCAAGAATAACGTTGGTTATAGATATACATGTCTTAACCCAGGAAAAGATAAAATGTAAAATAACAGTATACGCGAAGAAGCCTGCACAGCTCCTCATAGGCTACAGACAAAGAAGCGCGCGAGGCCGCGCGCCAAAGCAGGCGGTGTTGAGCGCTTTGCAATTGTTTAGCGCTGTCTTTTTGCTTTCAAGATTCAAACCGTTTCTTCGGAAAATTTCTTAAGCGTCTCGAGACTCGATTCTTGATTATTGGTAAACACGAGAGTTGAAAACCGAAACTCGAAACCCCAAGCCTCGTTCTCGAAAACTTCGACAGTTTGAGTCGAAACTGTTACATGTTAATCAGTTCCTTTGTAGTTCAGTGAAGGGATATCTGAGCACAAACTACCCACGATAACTCAGCTAGTATTACTTAAACATTACTTTTAAGGTTCTAAGAACATTTCCTTTACAGATATTTGTATACCCTTTAGTTGTAAGTAAGTTATGGAAAACGGGATACATGTAGGCTCTTACAAACAAGACTCCTGTATTCATTGCAGCAAACTCCGCATGTTGGAAAAGTATTTCACACTTGTATAGATTCACTGGTTAAAGATTCTCAATTAGGTTTCAACACCATCAGAAATCCAGACTCCAGTTATTCAGTGAATGATAGCCTCAGTGTTTTGTTAATAACTATTAAGTCATTGCAAACTAAAGATTTACAACTGTACTGACACCACAAAAATGTTTTGGTCAA